TGTGTGTGTGTGTGTGTGTGTGTGTGTGTGTAATACATAGAACTTGTGATTTACTTATTGTGCTATTTATTTTGTGTAGCATATGCCTATTGATGTTGTCTGTGATTTAAAAGACTGATGTAATGAAAAGCTGAAAGCTTCTCATAGCTTGAGTGAACTTGATTGATTGATTGATTGATTGATTGATTGATTGTTGGTCTGTCATGAAATAGTGTTGCCTATCAATGTCTGTATCAAGTGTACCAAAAACAAGACTTGTATTGGTTACCTGGTGACAATTAATGGCAATTCCCTTTACCTGCTTTGGAACACACTGCAGGATCCTGTTCTGCTCCAGAAAAAGGTGGGCGCACATGTAAGTCTACACGGAACTGCAGGAATACCCAACTGATAAGGTTCTTTTCCCTCTGTTCTGCTGAAGGATGGAGCGTTAATTGCAACAGGCTCTGCTGACCGGAATGTGAAGATCTGGGGCTTGGACTTCGGGGATTGTCATAGGTCTCTTTTTGCCCATGATGACAGGTAGGTCAAACAGGAATCAGCATCGAGATCTGTTTGGTGTGAGATCTCTCTGTAAAAGTGAAACATTTTATATTGTAGTCTCTGTAGAAGTACATATGGCATATGTATGGCACTTTTCAGGACAGTGAAATTCCTAGACTTGAGCACCCTAGGAATCGTTCTTCCTTCCTCTTCTCAACTAACAGCTTTTGGCATCCGGCCATCTCAGTTGAAAACATAACAAGAGCCTTTTCCACACAATTTGCAGTTCTCCTTTGTGAAGCTGGAAGGACTTACAGCTCCCTTGGTAGATTCAGATATGAAGCACAGTACACGATATTTTGTGGGCTTTCATTTATAGCAGTAGAGGGATTTCTTCAGAAATTTTAAACGGTAAAGATGTACACAGTGTTTTGAGCTCATAATGGCAGTTTGAAGTATGTGAGAGAGTTTTGTTTTGGGCACTGTGTTTTTTTCATGAACTGGGAACAAAATGCAGCTTTTTCAAGTCGCAGGTGATATGATTGGAGAATTATTTTATATCTTGCCACTGGGCTGTTTTGTTTTTGTTTTTTAAGCCCTTCCTGGACCATTCCAGCAGCACGGTCTGGTCATGCCCTGTCGCCATTGGCTTAGGCTGGATGGGGTGATGGGAGTGGGCAGAATGCTGGAGTAAAGCAGCAAAAAGCCATTCTGAATCTGGCTGCTGTTGGTGAGATATTTAAAAAGGAAGATTGCAAGAAATTTGCAACTGGATCATGACTCATGCTCCTACTGTTGGAGCTGGTGGGGCAACACCTATTCAACCCATCCCAATTCAGTTCAGGTGTGCTGCTTTGGGGTTTTAGTTTTCATTTTCAAACACTCTAATGGGATGGGGGGTTAGAGGAGAAAGACTGATTCTTTCTTCTATCCCCTTGCTTTTCAATTCAGGCTTTAATGTTTAAAAGGATATCCATTGAATAGAGCCTCTCCCATCCCCACCTCTTTTACAGCTTGCTTTTAAAGCTTATTCCATCACTTTCCTCTGGTTTAGGGTTAGCCTAGTATATCCAGGTGATTCTTACTCTCTGCAAATCTCTGGAATAGAGGTTCATAACTGAGACCATCTCTGTTGTACTTCAGTGGTTTCTGCTCCGTAACAAAGGGCAGAGAGAACCAGGCTGACCCAGGTTGTTCTGATGGGTCTTTTCACACAAAAGAGTCTGTATGAACTCCAGAAGAATCAGTTCAAACTCCTTCCATTTGAAGATATATGGCTGTAGATGTACATTTTCCGGAAATTTTAAAACCAGGACAAACCGTAACGTTTAGAAAAAAAAAATTGAAATATAAACCTAAAGACACTTTAGGAGCAGAGAATACATTGCATATGACTGTTGTGTGTTTGTTAAATTATCTTGGTTTATATGGTAAATTTTAAGAACATGACTGAGCAGTTTTCCCCCCAAATACCAACTTCAATTAAAAATTGTATAGGGTAAAATATATTAATGTAGCCAGCATACCATAATATGCTGAATTCAGAAGACTTTTATCTTTCAGTAAATCTACTTGCATTTGGAGTGTGCAGCTTTTCAGTTATCTTCTTCCCATTTTAAAATACCCTTCATGATGTGAATATGTGAATGGTAATTTGGAAATGCTAATGATCTTCCATATCTTCTCATAGTTAACCACCTTCTTCTTTCATTCTTTAGTGTAATGTATCTTCAGTTTGTTCCAAAGTCCCACCTCTTCTTTACAGCAGGAAAGGACCACAAAATTAAACAGTGGGATGCGGATAAATTCGAGCATATTCAGACTCTAGAGGTAAAATAAAAGATCTCTCTGAATAGACTTCTCCTGAAATTTGCTGTGTATGTGTGTGCAGACCATTTGGAAGTTATAACTGGTCCAGAAAGTGGTGGTGTGGGCAGTGATGGATATGCTTCATTATGACCATGTGACTCCACTGTTCCTTGAGGTGCTGTGGCTACCATTTGGTTTCCAAGTGCAATTCAGGGTGCTGGTTATCACCCATAAAATCCTTCACGGCATAGGCCTGATTACTTGAGAACTGCTTGTCTCCAAATGTTTCTGCCCATCCAGCGAGGTCAGGCAGAGTGGGTGCACTTCGGATCCCATAGATTAGCACTGTCATCTAGCAGGACCCAGGAAGTATGCCTTCTCTGTCATGGCCCCTGCCCCCTGCTCCCACCCTGATGATGTTGAGGAAGCTACTGAAGAGCTGGCTGTTCTCCCAGGCATCGGCAGATTGAGCCCCAGTTGGATGAGTGTTCTGTTTGTATGTCTATGTTTCGGGTGCTTATGAATTCATTCCTTTTATAATATTTTTTTTACTTTTAAAATTGTGAGTTGCTCCAAGTCAAGTAGACTCTAAATTAATAAAACAAATAAATTTAAAAATTAGCTTCTTCCCTTCCCTATAACTAACCATCTGTCTAATTCATAGGGACATCACCAGGAAGTGTGGTCTCTGGCCATCAGTCCCAATGGAGATTACCTTGTCTCCAGCTCTCATGATAAATCATTGCGCCTCTGGGAAAGGACAAGGGAACCCCTTATTCTGGAGGAGGAGAGGGAAATGGTAAGAAATGATCAGAACTTCCCTTTTGAATCTGCTCCGAGGAATTCCTATTCCAGCTCTGTTAACATATGTGTTCATATATACTTGTATTATTAGGGCTTTTTCTTGAGTTCATTGGTGTTCCCCTACTTGCAGATGTATCTGTTAACACCGAGGCTTCACACTGAACAGGCTATAGTGTCAAGCTATTGGTTTTACAGGAGGAAGTTGTAAATTTTCATTACTGGCTGTTCAGTCAAGATGTTATTTTATTGCTGTATTGCATTTATATTCCACCTTTTTCTGGGAGTGCAGCATACGTGGAGGGGGGGGTGTTCTCCCCTAATGTTTAACTTTCTTGGCAGGGTAGTTGTGAGGATAATAAAATTGGGGAGGAGAGAAGCAAATACTCCCCTTGAACTCTTTGGAAGAAAGGCAGAATAAAGATCTCAGAGCTGGTTGGAAGGAGATACATATGGGAAAAATAGGCTTCTTTGGATATTCTGAATCTGGAAGAATTGTTTTCCATTATAATAGAATTGGACATGCTGACACACGAAATAATTTTCTTTTGCAGCAAAGAGAAATAGAATATGAAGATAGTATCGCTAAGGAAGATCAGCCAGTGGTAAGCAACGTGTGTTTGGACAGCAGTTTTCTCTTGCTTCTCAAGCTTCCTGGCGAGACCTGTAGTTTCTTGGGGGCCTCAAGATGGAACTGAAAGGTTAGATTGGGATGTGTTGTTGTGGATGTCAACAAGCTGACTAGTATTTCCTGGACTGTCTTCGTATTTGAACTGCCTGGTTTTAGGTCAAAGTTAAAAATTACTGGGAAACTTGCACTACTGAATAAGCTAAATGCTAGTTCCAGAGTTTACCTGTATTTTTCCGTGATTAGCTTTGTTGGACATCATTATTATATACATAGCAAGGTGTTTTTTGTGAAATTGTTTCAGATCCCCCAAAAAGGAATCTCTGCTGAAAAGCTTACCCTGCGTTTTACATTTTCTTACTTGATTCTAACCCATACTGCCTTCCTTCCTTTTTAACCCCATAAACCCTAATATGGAATCAGTACCCCTGTATATTCAGTTTTATCTAGCTTTATTATGCCCAGCAGAATTAAGCACACACAGGTCCTTCAGGAATAGCCATAAGCTTTCAAACTAACTTCCAGTTCACACTTCCCTGTTTCTTTTTTCTTTTCCAAGATTCGCATTGCTGTGTCAATGTAATATTTAGTCTTTTGGTCATAGAATAGCGCATGACTCTTTCCTAAGTTAATGAGGAATTATCTCATTTGTTTCTTGGTTTTGCCTTAGACTTCAGTAGGATTGCCTCAGTTCTCTCCCTCCCATGGTAATAGTTAAAATAAATAAAAACAAGACTACAAAAGAACATGTGGAAAGACACAAACAGAAAACAAAGCAAAATTGGACTGCTTTCAAAAACACATTTTTGAATTGACTCATTTCAGCTGGGAAGCAACAGTGACTAATATTGCCATCCTTGTCAACCTTGTGCTATTTATACCACTCAGTTTAGCATAATTTCCCTGTCCATAAAAAAACAGAAAGCATTTGCCCTGGACTATTACAGAACTTGTATATATACAAAACATTTCATGGAAATCCGTGTGGCACTATTATTCCAATTCAAATACAGAATCATGGATGTTCAAATCAAAATGGAGCTAAAATTACAGCAGCTATAATTAGATTGCAGGAGATGTGGCTCTATTTTACAGGTGTTACTTTTAAAATGTTTTCTTTCTTCTCAGGTTCCTGGGGAGATTCAAGGCGAGGCTGGATTAGCTGGGAAGAAGACCATTGAAACTATCAAGGCAGTAAGTTTGACTTTTCCTAGAATCCTCTACTAGAAGGAAAGATTCCCTCTTTTTTGAAGACGTAATTGCAGATATTCATATCTCTCCTTTTAAAAAAAAAAAGCCTCTGTGTCAACTGCTGATCAGAAAGGTGTCCAGAGTAAGCACAAACTTTCTAACATAATTGAATTAGGCTATCTACCTATTTACCTGCCTATGGTTTCAGTGGGAGGTAGACCTATAAGTGAGTAAGAATCATTACTGAAAAACTCAACTTCTACATCATCTCATTCTTCTAGCAGTTGAATGATCAAGGAAGAAATGTTAGTGTCTCCTTAGCCACACTTTTGGGACTTTTGTCAGTGCTACAGCAGGATTTGAAATTACTACAGTATGCCATACTGGCATTCCCTGCCCTAAAAAGTAAAATGCATTTGATTTTTCCAGCACTGCATTTGCAGTGACTCTAGACTGCAATTATTTACTCTAGCTTAATACATATTTTTACTCTAGCTTAATAATATTCTTTTCTCTCTCTCTCTAGGCTGAACGGATCATGGAAGCCATTGAACTCTACAGAGAGGAGACTACCAAACTGGAAGAGCACAAGGCCATCTGCAGAGCTGCTGGAAAAGAAGTAAGGAAGGAATTGCTCGTGTTTTGTTCAAGGCAGTGTGAGCAAACCTATTTATTAACAAAGAGAATGCTTACAGAGCTGAAAAAAAGGAGATAACTTAGAAAGTTTGCTCCATTGGTCTGATGCATAATATTCAGATGATCTTAGTATCTTTGAGATCCATGCTCTAAAGTGGACAAAAGAGCATTTGTCACTTACAATGAAAGTTTCTTCCCGTTTGATGTGACAGAATCTTCCAGATCGTCCGAGTGAAACCCACCTACTGCCTAAGAATGCAGGAAAATCCCATAACAAGATCTGCTATTATATGAGCTTTGTTAGGTTTCTCCCTTCAGTTCTCATTCTTGGCCAAATTGAAATGAACTTTAGAAAAGTCCCTATTTTATTTATTTAGCATATTAATATAGCCTCCCATCTCACAAACAGGTGATTCTGGGCGGCGTACAACACAACAACAGTTAAAAACTCCATAACAATCTAAAAACAGTCAAAAATAAAGTAAACAGATAAAGTAAAACAGATAAAACCCAAGAAAGCGGGAGAACAAACATCACTTAATCTCATACAGTACAGCCACCTTG